CCCCAAAACCCCAAAACCCCAAAACCCCAAAACCCCTTTTTAATCCCAGACAATTGAAAATTTGTTCTAATCTGATAAAAGACAAAGAAATTTCAATTAAATTGATAAAGATGAGGGAAAGATTATTGGAGGAATTAGTCATCAAGCTTAAGGTAGTAACTATCAACGAAATTTCCTTTGTTGTCAAAGGCTTTAGAGTCAATTCCTTCATCAGGTTGAATTCTTACAATCCAGGCGGCGGATACCTCAAGTATCACATCCATTAGTTCGACTAGACGCGATTATTGAATAACTTCGAAACGGATCTTAAAAAATAAAAATTTAATTTATAGAAACTAGTTGGAAAGGAAATTTAAGTAGAATTTTAGGACTTACCATTATCTTTCTCACAACTTCCTGGAGATCTTAGCACTCCCCATGATCCTTCACCTATGTGAATTGGTTAAATTTGAATTAGCAATTTTAACAGTTGTCTTGAGGTTTATAAATACAAATGGATCAGGTTAGATCCAGGTAAACTTACCAAGATACAATGTTCCATCAGGATTAGCTTTTTCACCCTTGATACGCTTACTTCTCTTAAATGCATGACTATGATTCTCGAAAGAGATTGTCATATTGTACTTATCAAAAAGAGGAGCCCAGTGTCTCTTTCCATCATTCTCGACTTGGTGGTCATTCCATTTATCTTGCCTACAGGCTGAGTATAAAGGACCATGATATTGGGCAAGCTTGACTTTTGCATTAGATTCTGAAAGAACTTTCTCTAACCATTGTGTTTGTTCTCCTTTCATGTCAAGAGCGTAAGCAGCATCCAGATTTACAATGAGAAGATCATCCCCAAAGCTTTGAGAAAAATATACTTTCTTGTCTTTCAGCATTGGAACTTCTCCGTTAGCAGTATTCTGAGGGAAGAAGTGTTTAAAAACAGGCTCATGCTCATTTTCTCTCAGAACAACTGGAGAATAAGATGTAGCTCCCAGATCATGGTTTCCAGTTGAGAATAAAACTGGGACAACTCTGATGGTATTGGTAGAGTTATCCAAAACGCTGATCGGTAAACTTCTTAGAAGGTAATCCCAAGCTCTAAAGCATTTAGGGTCATTCTGATCGTAAGCGATGTCTCCTCCAATCATCACAAGGTCTGCATTTGCTTCTCTTAAACTATTTTCAATGACTTCATGAGCCAAAACACTGTTTCCAACATCACCTCCATTGATAATGGTCATATCTTTAGTGTTAAAGGTTTTGTAAGTGTAAATTTGAGCATTTTCATTGTTCCAATTAGGCTCGGTGATTCTAAAAGAGTAGGTTGTGTCAGCCTTCATGCCCTTTACAAGAGCAGTGAACATGCCCCTCTGGCTAAATTCAGTGACAGGACTTCTGTAATCAGCTTGCACAACTCTGACATCCTCCCAATTTGAGAAGTCTTCATGGTCATTCGGGAAAGATCCTTCTGCATATTCAAACTTTGGATTACAGATTTGGTAGCTGCAAGAATCCAGGTTCACATGGAAATTTATGAAGACATCATTTAATGCATTTTCAGGAAGAGTTGAGTATACAAAACAAGGAGTTTTATCGACAGGGCATACATCTTGATCATAATATCTTCTCATAAATGCAGTAGAGAGATTCATTCCATCTCCGTTTACAACAACTCCAGGAATATCTTCACTGAAATCTCAGCCACAGAGTCCTTTAGTAACTGACATGAGAGCAAAAACGTATCCTATTACTACAGGAACGATAAGTGGTGACCATTTGACAAGAGACATCATTGTTTTGTAAAAATTTGAACCAAAAATCATAGAGTGCCTGAATGAAACAAAAATGATCAGGAAGAGGATAAGTAAGGTTTTGATTACCCCAGTTTCAGTGCTAGCTAATATGACGTCCCAAGCAACTAGCATATCCCATACAATAGTCAAACTGAGGCAAGTGGCTATTTCTAGCCCATAAATTCCTGTAGTGGTGGCAATTTTAAGGAAAGCATTCTCATAGTCTGGGATAACAACCCTGGTTTTATTATTTTGAATTCCATCCATTTCAGACCTCAATGGGACTCCTTCTCTTCTTCTGTAACTTCTGAGCTCATTTTGCTTGATTCTCACCAAAACAACATTTAGAATGACAGAAAGCGTGGCCAAGATCATGGAAACAATAAACGTCACTAGTGAATAACCGTGGGCTATAAAGTTAAAGTTAAACCAAAAGACTTATATTAACTAAATTCTAAAATTGGTATCTAAAGATAATATATTTAGTAAAAATTTTGATTATCTCCCTTGCTTAGTTATGTACTTACCTTTACTATCTGCATAGTTAAGGTGTTTCCCTCCGAAGAGGATCTCAAAGACCCTGTACATTTTTATTATTATAACCAAATATTATTAAATAAGTTGACTTCACCCTTATGAGATTAGTAAGGGGTTTTGGGGTTTTGGGGTTTTGGGG